GCAAAGTGTTCTTTGCCTTTCAAATGCACGAAGCTGCAAAATCTTAAGGGCATATAAACTTACTTTGATTGCAGGGCTGGGATCTTGGAAGTCGCATTCCTTTAATTTCCTTGAGTTGGTTCTTTCCCTGTGAAGGACACGCACAGGGTGGTGAGTTTTCAATGGAAACTGGTTTTGCCTCATTTTCCACTTCTCTCCTGCTACAAGGAAAGAAGTGCAGAGCTCCGGAGGCCTGCCTGCCTCTTTCTATGCAGACAGAAAGGGCTGGGTGTCTGTGTTTAATTACAGCCTGAAAGAACTGCATTTAAAAGACAACAGCAAGCTATTTAATTAATACTTATCATTAGCACACATAGGAATGCCTAGCAGCAAATTGCAACAACAAAGCAACTCTCTATTATTTTTTTTTTAACTTGCACTTGGGATAAATTAGTTTTAAAAAAGAGTAAACAAACCATTTGCACCAGATTTGAGATGATTTTTTTTTTATGGAGTGGGAGTACTGGGATAGTAGACATTACCCTGGGACAGCAGAGATCTGTAAGAGCAGGCTTTTCAACCTCCAGCTCTCCTGGCCAAGAAGCTTATCTTCCTCTATCCATCTATCTACCTTCTATCTTGGCATTTACACCGGGCTCATCCCCATGTCTGAGCGCCTACTTGTCTTCATACCTGTCCATAAATTACACAGCACCCCCAGGGCATTATAAATAATAATTCCACTCTCAAACCTTCAGAACAAGGTTTTAAAGCACTGGCTTATAATTCAGCATGTTGTAGAGTCCTACTCCCAGCCCACGAAGGTAAAGCTGGAGCAGAAGGACATGACATCCTGGTCAGCTGAGGAAATTACCCAAAATCAGTGCTTTGGGTGGGAGGCATGGAGTGGGTGCCCACGAGTTGCAAGATGGGGATGGACATTATGCCAAGCAAGAGAGAAGGCTGGGCTGCTCCACTCATGGGACTGCTCCACTTGTGGCCTTCCAGTATCTGAAGGGGCCAACAAAAAAGGTGGGAAGGCACTTTTTACAAGGCTGTGTAGTGATAGGACAAGGGGTAATGGCATTAAACTGGAAGAGGGGAGATTTAAGTTAGACATCTGGAATAAATTCTTTATGATTAGGGTGGAACTGGAACAGGTTGCCCAGGGAAGCTGTGGATGCCCTCTTCTTGGATGTATTCAAGGCCAGGTTGGATGGGGCTTGAAGCAACCTGGTCTAGTGGGAGGTGTCCCTGCCAATGGCAAGGGGGTTGAAACTAGATGATCTTTAAGGTCACTTCCAACCCAAACCATTCTGGGATTTTAAATAGCAACTTCATCTGCAGCCCATCAGGCATTTTTACATCCCCCAAATTTTTATCTCAGCCAGTGCTGCACCCAGCCAGTCACCCCATGTCCCCCTTTAAATAATAGCCCTCTTAATGACACTATTAATGGTTGGAGTGATGAACAACAGCAAGGCTCTGGTGCTGATGCCTCCACAGGGTGCAACACCAGGTGAGGACCACTAAGCTCTGAGGCTGATGACTTAAAGGACAGACTTCACATGTAGTCAGACAGATACCAAGCCACGGCAGGACAGGCACCTTTGTTGTACTCACCAAGAGATGGCTACAGGACAGCAAGATGCTTTGTTACGTGTGAGCTCTTGGATAGAAACCTCTCCATGAGAGACCCTATTCCTCTATCCCAGCACCATCTCTACCCCAACACATCACATCTCCATCCCAATACCTGTGACAACCACCAGAGGAATGTCCTTGATAAGACATGGGGTCCCTGCAGAGGGTGGCAAATAGCTCATGGACAATGCTGTCTCCTAGGAGGTGTGGGTCAGATCTGTTTTGGGTAAGGGGACTGAAACTGGGAACTTTGCTGGAGAAAAGTGTGAGTAGTTGATGTATGCAATGAATTATTTCAAAAGTCTGGCCTGAACAGCTCTGGAAGGTGCAGAAGTAATAGATGGTTAACCCAGCAACTTGTCAAGCTGCCAGAACTTGCAGCTGCCCATCAAAGTATGAGGTGGGATGGTACCACCTTTCTGCATGACTTTCCTCCCTGCATTTTCCATTTTTCCATCAGACAAAGCTGACCCTCCCTCCAGAGGGAGCCAGAGAACTGAAATGGAGCGAGCAGAGCTCTGAGCACCTATTTTGGGGCTGAAGTGGGAGCCCCCAGTGTGGGAGCAGCCAGGGATGCCACGGTCCCACCAGGCCAGGTTCATCCTTGGCCTGCCAGGCATGGCCATGCATTGCCCTCTGCGGGAGCGGGGCCGCCCTGCAAGCTGAGCCTTCAGGTGCTCCAGGCATCAAACAGGATTTTCCTGCTGCACTCCTGCCATTCAGAAATCACAGAGAGAGTTTTTGTAGTGTCCTGCCCCCAGAAAAACCATCCAGTTTGGACAGGGGGAGAAGCAGCACCCTCACCCTGTGCTGTAAGGGTGGCTGAGAATGAAACCCCTTTTCTCCAGTGAGGCTGGACCCTTCACCCATCCTACTGCTGAGATAGGAATGTGGAATACACTTGCCATGTTTTCTGCTTGCAAAGCACACCAGGGCTTTGTTGGGCAACCCCCTGCCTGGGGGTCTGGGTCTGTCAGCCTCCAGTCTCCCTCCCCTGCTCCAGTCCCCACCAACAGGCTGGATTCGCAACCTCTCATTTGGACGTGGAGCTGGGTGCAATTTCAGATGTCTTGCCCCTTGCAGGGTGTCTTAAGCTATGATTAAGAGTTAAATTGCAACCAGGAAGCCATCCTGGCTGAGAACCACAGGTTTGGAGGAGGCAGCTATTAAAGGTGGTGGAGCCCAACAAGTCCAACGTGTGCATCAATGAGACGGCAGTCATGCCAGGGTCAGAGGGCATCAGGGGGTTTCTCATTGGCAAGGTTATTCCCAAAGACAAGGCTGCTTAAGTAAGAAGTATTTTGGTGGCCAGTTAGGCTCTTACAGAGGGGTGAATTGAACTGGAAGAGGGTAGATTTTACATTAGACTTTAGGAAGAAATTGGTGGCAAGACATTAGAACAGGTTGCCCTGAGAAGCTGTGGCTGCCCCATCCCTGGAAGTGGCCAAGAGCAGGCTGGATGGGGCTTGGAGCAACCTGGTCTAGTGGGAGGTGTCCCTGCCCATGCAAGGGGGTTGCGATGTGATGATCTTTAAGGTCCCTTCCAACTCAAACCAGTCTGTGACTCCCTGATTCTATGAACGATGCCTCATGAAGCATCAGACTTTCCCAGGACCTCACCAACATTTTCCTCCCAATTCATCCATGCAACTAATAAAGCCATTAGCACAGAAAACATCCCACATTCAGGTACTGTGTTTTCCCACCATTTTCAACTAAGCTGTTCCCCTCACCCGTGCTAATCAGGAAGGGGCAGCCATGGCCCTCATCTTGGAGGAGACACAGGCCTCTCCTCTCCTGCAGAGATTCAGTGGGATGGAAGGAGGTGGTGTGGGGCCAGCTGTGCAGGGGGAGCCAAGGAGAAGTCTGCCCTGGTGCCAGCAGAAGGCAGCTTGCAGCCCAGGGAAAGCTTCCCACTCTCCCCACACACTCTGCACCATCCCATGCTGACTCACATCACAGAATTTACTTTTACCCTGCTAAATGCCACTAAACCTTGAAATTAATCCACCCATTACAGGACTTCCTTTGATGTCAAAGGGGGAATTTTTTTGATGGCAAAGGGGGATTTTTCCCCCTGGTGTAATTATTCCTTCTTTTTTTTTTCCCCATTTTTAGACACAAGAGATTCCTGCCAGATGCATGACTTGCGGAGGCAGCTCCCACACGAGGTATTTATATATTTATATGTAGAAGATGGGAACGTAGCATTGCAAGACCTGAAGTTTCAGGCACCAGATAAGGGGAATTTCCCATTTCCTATTTGTTTCAGTGGAAGTTGCCCGGGAAGAGTCTGCAGCAGGATTAGGACCAAAAGCTGAGAGATATGGCACTGGAAAGCAACTTCTTTAAATTAAAAACATGCTTATGGAAAACATCTGATATTTAACACTATCACTGAGCAAGTTTTGATGCCTTGACACTGATTAAATTAAACTACATTACATTATATTAAATGCCCTGCATGTGTTGACCACCTCAGGTGCTACTGGGATTGCTGGGCTGCATCAAAAAAAGCACCAGGGAGGGGATTCTGCCCCTCTGCTCTCGTAAGACCCCACTTGGAGTACTGTGTCCAGCTCTGGAGTCCTCAGCACAGGAAAGACATGGAGCTGTTGGAGAGGGTCCAGAGAAGGGCCATGAAGATGATCAAAGGGCTGGAGCAGCTCTGCTATGAAGACAGGCTGAGGGAGTTAGGGCTGCTCAATCTAGAGAAGAGAAGGCTCCAGGGAGACCTTAGAGCACCTTCCAGTGCCTGAAGGGGCTCCAGGAAAGCTGGGGAGGGGCTTTTCATTAGAGAGGGCAGTGATAGGACAGGGGGTAATGGTTTTAAACTGAGAGGTTTAGGTTAGACATCAGGAAGAAATTCTTCACCCCGAGGGTAGGAATAGGCTGCCCAGGGAGGCTGTGGAAGCCCCATCCCTGGGGGTGTTTAAGGCCAGGTAGGATGAGGCTTGTGCAGCCTGGTCTGGTGGGAGGTGTCCCTGCTCATAGCAGGGAGCCTGGAACCTGATGGTCTTCAAGGTCCCTTCAACATTCACCATTCTGTGATTCTACAATTCTATGATTCTATGATCCCAGCACAGGGCTGGAATTGCTGGATAATGCTCAGGAAGCTGGTGACTGGGATGGTGCTAAAGCACCTTTCTGAAGCAGCTGGTAATGATGGACCAGGCGGGTTTATTCGCGTTTCCATTCGTTTTTATTAATAGGAAAAAAGGGATAGAACTGCAGAACTCGTTATTCCATGGCAAAGTATATTTTTGTTAATAATTCCTTGCATGGAGAGTGTAGGCTCCTCCTCCAGCAGAACACAGGGCTCTCCTGGGAGTGGAAAGTGAGCCCCGGAAGGCACCAGCCAGCGGTGCCCCAGCAGATCAGCTCTGGGTGAGCCCCTGCCCCGTGACCCCCCACCGCCGTGCCACGGCTTCGATCCGTTCCCGGAGCACCTGTGCCCAGTCCTGTCCCCTCTCCAGAGGAGTGGACCTGGTTTCCATGGCCATCAAGGCAGTGATGTCCGGGGGGAGCTGGGGAACCAGGCCGGCTCGGAGCAGCGCGTCCTGAAATTTGGCTGCAGAGGCTGGAGCCAAGCAACAGCGGGGGGTGCTAGGAGGGAAAGAAAAGCAAGGAAATCCCAATGGAAGCAAGACCCAAGCTGGAGGTGCTGCAGGAGCCAAGGGAGAAGTGATGCTCCAGTCCCTGATGGACCCAACCGGGGCTGTCCTTACCTGTCTGGCTGTGAGTAGTGGTAGTGAGCAGCCACGGCAGAGTGAGGGCACAGCAGGTAGTGGTTTTCCTCCCAGCAGAGCTGCATGGCTCTCACAATGTCCTCGTCAGAGGCTGAGCAGGAGCGCAGGGTCTGGGAGAGCTGTGGCCATGGGGGGGACACGGGGAGGTTTGCAGAGGGCTTCACCACCCCACCCCAGCCCTGCCAGGCTGGTGCTGTGGGCACGCAGCAAAGCAGTTGGAAACAGGGAGGCTGGAGGATGGGGCTCCCCAGGGATTGGAGGAAAAGGGGATGAGGCACTGCTGGAAAACACCACAGGCCCAGGGTGCTGGAGAGGGGGTTCCATACCCAGGTGCTGGGAGCATGGAGAGGAGGCAAGAGCTGGCTCCTCAGCTCTGCACTGCTATCTATTTTCATGCTCCGTGGGAGTTTCTGAGGGCTTGTAAACCCCACCTCAGTGTAATAGCTCTTCATGCTTTGAATAATGTATTTTTTCAGTCTTTATTCTACTGCTGCACCAGCAGGAGCAGGCACTGGGCAAAGGATCCTTGCTGGGGACAGTGAATATTGGATGGGAAGAGGCAGGACTTTGCATCTGGCCCAAAGAGCCTCACAACTCTAACATCTGGCTTTCTCTTGAATTTGGGTAGATCCTAGGAAAAATTTCTTCACAGAAAGGGTTGTCAAGCACTGGGACAGGCTGCACAGGAAGTGGTGGAGTCACCATCCCTGGATGTGCTTAAAAGTCGTGTAGATGTGGTGCTGAAGGACACGGTTTAGCAGTGAACTTGGCAGAGTTAGCTCACTGGCTGGACTTGACGATTTTGAAGGTCTTTTCCAACCTAAACAGTTCTGTGATCCTCTCTGCTTTGTGCCTGTGCTCCCACTTGCCCTCACACCGAGGCTGAATTCCAGCTCCAAACCCAGCAGCCCCACTCCCAAAGCCCACCCAAAGCCCACCCAAAGCCCACCCTCCCTTCCTGCCAGCACCCACCTTACGGTGCCTCAGTGCGCAGCCACTGCCACCGTGGCCAGGGATGCAGAGGTTTCACATCCTACTAATTCAAATAATTGCAGGCATTCTTTGAATTAGCTTTGCAAAAAAGAATTAGGCTTCTTTTTTAAAACTTAATTTAAAAAAAGAGGTTTTTATCACCTCCATGCACACGCATTGATATAAAACTCCAGCTCTGGCCTCACACTTATATTTTTTAGTTGAAAACTCCACTGTGATTTTTTTATTAGTATTATGAAAGTGTGTTTAAAACAACTGGTAGTGGTAAATCTCCTTACATGTGCACACACACAGCTCTGTGGGTGTGAGGAACTGACCTTTCTGTGCAGCTCCTCTGGCAGCTGAAGGCGTTTTGATGCACTGAATTGCTCCATCAGCGTTTTTGTCAAGTGGCTGTCGGAGCCCGAGAGCAGCCAGAGGATCCTCTCCACATTGTAAGGCTCCTGGGATAACAAGGCAATAGGTGAGCAGTGGAAATGGGAGCATCTGGCTCAGGGGGCGAGCACCTGTGTGGATTCCCTGATGTCTAAATTAGGGTTGAGGTCCCACTGCCACGTTTTTCTCGGTGAAAGCTGGGGTGGGGTTGGTGTGTTCCTACACTTAGATCCCAAGACAAGTCTTTGGGAATATGATGTCCTTCAGAACCCTGACCTGTCAGAGCAGTCTGGCAGTGACCATTGGATTAAAAAAAAAACACCCTAATGAAGGGATGACAGATAAATCAACGGTGTGACCACATCTGTACTATCACCTTGAGGAGCCCAGGCTAATAACACAGTGTGTCTTTGAGAACCAGGAATATCCAGCTGTTGACTCAGTGTTGCAGATGCTGCTGTGAGTCACCCAGCTCCCACATGACTTTCTGAGACACCCCTGCAGGGCTGATCAATAATCTTTATGAACATACAAGGCATATATAGGGCCTGACTGGCTTCTATGTAGCAATCCCTGTTGCAACACTGCAGCAAAACTGGGTGCAAGACCATACAGAAGGGTCCCAAACCAATTTCACTGCTCAGCATCTCATTCTTGCACTCACAAGCACCAAGAAACCTTCATCCAGGTGGTTTGGTCAAGATACGTTACAGGGACAGACAGGTCAAGGGGCACCAACTACCAAGTCCTCCCCCTGTCTCCTGGGCTCAAGGGTTGCTTCTGGATGAGCTCTTTATACCCTGTAGCAGCTGACAGTGTCTGTGACCTTTCCTCTCTCCATCCTGTCCTACCTTGGCAAGTCATCAGGACTTACTCAGCCTTTCGTGTCCTTATCTGGGTGGCTTATGGCCCCAGTCCTGTTCTTCATCTTCCCACCATCATCTCCCAGAGCTTCCAGTCTGTAATCTTCAGTCTAGTCTGGGTGTAGCCTGCCCTTTGCTTTAGGCTGTCCCATTTCAGGCTGTCCTCTACTTCCCAACCTGGCTGTCCTGAGCAGATACATGTCAACATGTCTGGACATCGATGACCTGCTACTGGAGCTGCCTTCAGCACCATCCTCCTGACACCTCCCTCTCCTGCCCTTTCTTCTGCTGCTCCCATATCCAGACCTTTCCCTTCACCCTCCATTCATATTAGCCTTATGGTTTCCAGTACAGAGCACTGTATTGGCACCAGTAAGTCGACAGGACACCGGTGCAAGAACTGGCCTTGCCATTTAAATTATTAGCCAGCCCTCAGGTCTGGTTTTGTCCCAGGTCACTAGAGTTATCCAGGAGGAAGTTGGGGCCTAGTCTGGAGGACAGGTTATTGTAGGGACTGTTCCCAAGAAAAGTTCTGGCATGTGGACATGAGCTGCATGGTGCTTCCTGACCTCAGGGTCAGAGAACAGTCCCTGGTTGGCTTTAGGTACTGCAAAGACACCATGTCTGCTGTGATTCTCCTGGGATTGCTCCTTACAAGGCTCATCCACACAGACTTTCTTCTTCACCTTCAATTCTTCAGTTAGTGTTTAGCTGCAAAGTTTTATCTGCTTTAACTTAGACTGGAGAAGAGGCAACCTACAGAAGTTGTGCACCCTCCAACCTTGAAGTTTTCCAACTAGACAAAGCCCTGAGCAACCCAGTCTGACCTCAGGGCTGACCATGGTTTGAGCAGACCTCCTGAATTCCCCTTCAGCTATAGAAATATTTGCATGGGTGCCTTCATATGTGAGCTGAATGATGATGTCCCATGTCCCATGCAGCTGTGGAGAAGGACGTGAAGAGGGACACACCAATCCAGCTCCTTGGGCATCTCTGGACAACACCTCACCTGGCTGCTTTCCCTCATGCTCCCAAAGTCTGGGATACCTCAGCAGACCAGTGCTACTGAAGGGACACAGGCCAAGAAAGGAGTCCATCTACCATGTTAGCTCTAAGGAGCCCCACACATTCATGCCTCAGTAGGAAAGTTAAGCTGCAGACCACAGCAGCCTGGTGATAGGGACACAATGACTGCAAAGCATGGCAGCTCCTCCAGCCTCCCAGGTCCTCCCAATGTGTCTGGACAGCTTTTGGAAAACCCAGGTAGCTTAAGGCCACAGTGATACAACACCAACTGTCTCAAACTTTGGTGATTTGCTTGAAAGCAGATCCAGTCCCTATGGATTTCATGCCTACCCAGGTAGGGTATGAAATGGGAGGCATTTGCTTCCAGGTGTTTCTTTCCTACACTTCCATGACTTTTCACTTCTGAGGCCTTTGCCTGCCTGCTGAGACTTGTTTTACTCTGAGCAAGCTGCAGATGGCCACAGATGAGGCATTTCTTCTGGGTTTTCCTACCTTCTTCCTGGTCTCTTGCTCTTGGTGGAGCCTTTCAGAAGCATCAACAAAGTCCCTGAGACATGACAGGATTTATAATTTTCTAAATGTCACATTTTGAGAAAACATCTGCCTCTTGCTAACCTTGCACATAATGAAGTCCCAGAAACCCAGTATTTAACAATGAAGATTGCAAAGTCAGGCCCTGAAAAGTGAGGAAGAAGGTTTGATCTATCTCAGCTCAGCAGTCTGCAGCATAAATGTTCATCATGAGTCACATCTCCTGATGCATCACTGAGAGGCCTTGCCAGTGGCAGAATGACACTCTCATGAAGCAGACAGAACAGAGCACAAAGGAAAAAAAAGTATAAAGAAATGTAATATTTGGTATTTTCCCATTTTGCCCAATTCATTACGTACCTGAATATCCATGGCTGATGCTAACGTAGCCTTCACACTCTCTGACAGGGAGAAATCTCCATGTTGAACAGTCCTGTGAATGATGTCATTGCTGTTAACCGCAGCAACAAGTTGGATTGGGAGACCCATTTTCTGGGCAATACAGCCAGCTAGGAAAAAAGTGAAAAAACACGTGTGTTTGGTGAAGAAACATTCAAAGGAGGTTTGGCAAAGAAATCGTTGTACAATTTGATTGAGCATGTAACTGAGAAGCAGAACTGACATTTCCTAATGGACTCTGATAGGACAAAGGGTTGTTCAGCCTGTAGAAGAGAAGGTTCTGGAGAGACCTTAGAGCACCTCCCAGTACCTGAAGGGGCTACAGGAAAGCTGGGGAGGGGCTTCTTATTACGGCAAGGAGTGACAGGATGAGGGGTATGGATTTCAAGCTGAAAGATGATTGATTCAGATTAGATATTAGGAGGAAATTCTTCGCTGTGAGGGTGGTGAGACACTGGCCCAGGTTGCCCAGAGAAGCTGTGGCTGCCCCATCCCTGACAGTGTTGAAGGGCAGGTTGGATGGGACTTGGAGCAACCTGGGCTGGTGGGAGGTGTCCCTGCCCATGCAGGGGGGTTGGAACTAGATGATCTTTAAGGTCCCTTCCAACTCAAACCATCCTGTGATTCTATGACTCTGTATCTGTCTCTACTGCTTTGGTAGAGCACCAGCTTATGAAATCTGGGGATGCAGTGCTCCATCTGCCATTGAACATTGACCCTTGGGCAACTCCACATTTCAAGATGGATGGGCAGGGAATCAAGAGGTCCAGCAACTGCTGCTCAGGAAGGAGTGAATGTCTGGGGCTCTTGCAGCTTATTAATACTGCCTCAGATGGGCACTCTGGAAGTGCAGTGAATGCAGGTGAGTCCATTGGATCCTTTACTGCCTTCATAAACCTATTTTGGGATTGAGGCAATCAAGGACTCACATTTAGAAGGCCAGACTATACAATTAAGAGGGGTTCTTCTGACCGCACGCTACCCTGCAAACCAGGATAGGACCAGGCAGGACTCCACACCTCTGTTAATGTCTCACTTAGGCAATCAGAGCCACAGTATTTTCCCTCTTTTCTGCATCAAACATGATCTGTCCTTTTCCAGTGTGCCCATCCTCAAGATAGCTACAGTCATCATCAAAGGGTGGTTTGGGATTTTCTGCACCTTGCAAATCAGCAATGACACCTGCATGAGTAATAACCATTCATGAGTAATAAAATACAACTGGTTCTGAAGAAATCCTACCAGAGAGTGGGTGTTTTAATAAATAGCAATACCCAGTATCTGCAAAGTGCTTTTAGTCCATAGGTCACAGCACTCTCTCTCCCTTCCTTATCTAACCTATCTTTCTTCCCTTCACCTGTGATATTTCCTCCTCCTCCTGTTGGCACAACAATTTCCACCACTGGCAATGGGTTGGTATCCAGGGATGGGGCACACTGAAAGTAAGCATAGAAGTGGTGAGCAATCTGCACCATAATCCTTGACCAATTGACTGAATTCAAGCTCATCAGGTTGTATTTTCTGGCAAAATCCACATCAGCAAAGAGTTCCTTGATGGGCTCATCGATCTCATCGCTGTTCCCATGGGCTGTCAAAAGGAGAAAGGAAAGATTAGATCTGCCAGCATCAGCACATCATGCACCAGGTATTTCTGCTCAGAAATAGGGTCAGTCTCAAGCCCTGGGGTTTGCTGTGGCCAGGGATGTCCTGAGCTGCCCGCCTGCCTCTGGGGCTGTACGAGCTGGGGGTTGAGAAGCACCATGTGGAAGCTGGGTGGTTCCTGCAGATGTTGCACTCTGGGCTCTTGCTTATGCCAAGTATATATTTGGCAGGAAGGCAAATGCCTGCATCCCCTGTGAGCTGCCAAGATGAGACCTGGCTGAGCAGAGGAGCTCATGGGACAGCTCAAGCACTCAGTGATGATTCCTAACCATGGGGACAGCAAAGTGGTAGTGGGTGAGCTACCCACAAAGAAGATGGGACAGAGGGAAGGAATAACTCGTGATTCTTTTAGTGCCAAGAAATGGTGTTGAATTGAGTGCAGCCACCTGCACTGAGCAGCAGCTGCCTGCATGAAGGCAGCTCTGATCTGAGGAGAAAATGAAGCCTTGAACCACTTGGTCATCAAAGCAGGGACATATGCTACAGGCTCCTGTCAGCCAGATGTCCAAAGATGGTGACCATGATGGCAATGGCCTGGCTGGCTGCAGCTGCAGCTGCCCCCTGAGACTTTCAGGGTCACAGTTTTGATGCAGCAGGGCCATAAAGTGGACAGTCCAAAAGCAATGCCAACCAGCAAAGACGTGGACATTGTCTTCAATGACAGTGGTCATCTGAAGCTCCTGTATCTGGGTGCAGAACCCCTTAGGCAGCAGAACAAAGATGTCCATGTTCTTCTGCCCTCTCACACTCTCGATGGCCGAGCTCCCAGTGTCCCCTGAAGTCCCTGTTTCAAATTGAGGGAGAAGGAAGAAAAGCAAAAAAAATAGATGTGTCCACCAAATCTGCATTGCTGCACTTGTAAGAAAAAGATGCAGAGAAGTTCCATGAGATGCTTTTGGCTTGAGTAGCCACCCTGGCATTGCCCAGAGATCACACACCAGCCACTCCTGAGGCAATACCACCCTGAAGCAGCCTGGGACAGATGTGGGATGAGGGCTCTCTAGGTACAGATCTGGCCAGCAATTTCCCCTGCTACAAAGAGGCATACTCACCCACCACAATAGTGACATGCTTCTGCTTTTTCTCCAGGAAGTACTGCAAAAACTGTCCCGTGCAGGACAAGGACAGATCCTTAAATGCATAAGTAACCCCGTGCCAGAGCTCCAAAACATTCAGCCCATTCTTCAGCCTGGAAAGATGGACCACATCCTTGTGTCTGAACCTGCTGAAAGCCCTGTCGATCAGGTCTAGAGGGAAAAATGGTGAAAAGGGCTGTTAGATTGGGTAGAGGAGTTATTTCTCTGATTCATGGCTTCCTTTATCTGTGCTCTTCATGGTCCTTGGGAAGCTCCCTCCACAGCAGTCCCAGCTGCTGCAGAGGTGACAGATACCCAACAAGTTATTCCTAGTTATTAGGAGTAAATCACCCCAGCATCACTGTGTTTCTTAGCTCCATGGCAAGTAACCCCGGGGGACACTCAACACCACCTGGGCAAAACACAAAATAAGTGCAGGAGGCTGAACTTCCATCCCAACGAGGTGGTGAGACAGAGGTTGTCGCTGCCCTCTGGTGGGAGCGATAGCGGATAGAAACGTTGATGTCACACCTCGGGGAGCAGCAGAAAGTGCCCGTGGGAAGGCAGGGCTGGAGGCCAGCAGGGTGCCCGGGTGGGCGTGGGGCAGGGGCAGCCTCATCAGCCTCCAGAAGCCCTGTTTGCAACGGGTAATGAGCCCCAAGCGAGGCGACAGAGATGGAAAGGAGCAGGCGGTGGCTCAGCAGGATCCACCCCGAGAGGGCCAAGGAGAAGATGGGGTGAAGACGGGCAGGTGAAGGCCCCTGATGCCCATCCCTGCCGGGCTCACCGTTCAGCGCGCTCCGAGGGACCAGCGAAAGGAAGGGAAAGGAAGGGAAAGGAAGGGAAAGGAAGGGAAAGGAAGGGAAAGGAAGGGAAAGGAAGGGAAAGGAAGGGAAAGGAAGGGAAAGGAAGGGAAAGGAAGGGAAAGGAAGGGAAAGGAAGGGAAAGGAAGGGAAAGGAAGGGAAAGGAAGGGAAAGGAAGGGAAAGGAAGGGAAAGGAAGGGAAAGGAAGGGAAAGGAAGGGAAAGGAAGGGAAAGGAAGGGAAAGGAAGGGAAAGGAAGGGAAAGGAAGGGAAAGGAAGGGAAAGGAAGGGAAAGGAAGGGAAAGGAAGGGAAAGGAAGGGAAAGGAAGGGAAAGGAAGGGAAAGGAAGGGAAAGGAAGGGAAAGGAAGGGAAAGGAAGGGAAAGGAAGGGAAAGGAAGGGAAAGGAAGGGAAAGGAAGGGAAAGGAAGGGAAAGGAAGGGAAAGGAAGGGAAAGGAAGGGAAAGGAAGGGAAAGGAAGGGAAAGGAAGGGAAAGGAAGGGAAAGGAAGGGAAAGGAAGGGAAAGGAAGGGAAAGGAAGGGAAAGGAAGGGAAAGGAAGGGAAAGGAAGGGAAAGGAAGGGAAAGGAAGGGAAAGGAAGGGAAAGGAAGGGAAAGGAAAGGAAAGGAAAGGAAAGGAAAGGAAAGGAAAGGAAAGGAAAGGAAAGGAAAGGAAAGGAAAGGAAAGGAAAGGAAAGGAAAGGAAAGGAAAGGAAAGGAAAGGAAAGGAAAGGAAAGGAAAGGAAAGGAAAGGAAAGGAAAGGAAAGGAAAGGAAAGGAAAGGAAAGGAAAGGAAAGGAAAGGAAAGGAAGGGAAAGGAAGGGAAAGGAAGGGAAAGGAAGGGAAAGGAAGGGAAAGGAAGGGAAAGGAAGGGAAAGGAAGGGAAAGGAAGGGAAAGGAAGGGAAAGGAAAGGAAAGGAAAGGAAAGGAAAGGAAAGGAAAGGAAAGGAAAGGAAAGGAAAGGAAAGGAAAGGAAAGGAAAGGAAAGGAAAGGAAAGGAAAGGAAAGGGAAAAGGAAAAGGAAAGGCAGGCGTGGGGAGCTGGAGCAGCGAAGGGCACCCAGCGTTCTTGCAGGCAGTGGGAAACGCTGCCCGGGACTTGCCCCGAGGCGGCCGCAGCCTCCGCGCCCTGCTGCCCCCGAGCCCTTCCCCCCCTGCCCGGGGACACTTCCCGGCCAAGGAAAAGCCCTGACGGCGCAGGAGCCGCTGCCGGGCCCTGCAGGCCGCCTGCAAAACCTGGAGTCTGACAACGTTATAACAACAATAGCAATAACAATAATAAATCAATAACTGCTTTCCGAGCAGGTGGATTTCGTTCGAAGGGGTTAAAGCACGGACGGGATTGAACTCAGCGCAGGAAGGACCGAGTTAAACACACACACCCCCCGGGTTTGCGC